GTGTGTTGGTTCTTAACCTTGGCTCCATGCTCACGCTGACCCTTGACCCGTGTGCTTTGTGTGATCTTATTTATGGTTGTTGCATCCATGCATTCTTGCATTCATGAGCATACATATGCATTCCTTCAAGTTTCCAGAGAAACTCATTTCAACTGTCTCCTTCTTCAGTTATCTATCCACTGTCAAGCTGTTTCCTCAACACAACTGCAGAAGTAGAGCTGCCATCAGATTGAGAATGTAAAATCAAGAACAACACAATGTCGAAGTTAGAATGGAAATTGATGAGTTGAAGGCCATCATGACTAAGCTCACAGAAATGATGCATGTCCTGATTTCTAGAGGAAATCCACCTCAGAGGACTGTGATTTTTGAAATCTCAACTGCTGTTGTTAATCCTCCACTGATCCAGCAACCAACTACTACTTAGCCAGAATTTAGGTTACCTTTGGATTACTCGCAACACTTTGCAACTACTCCAATGGTTGACCCATCTGTACTGTCGATATCTTCATCTCCATTTTTCACTGAACCTCACCCTGTTGTGCATACTGTTGCTCAAGCTACTCTTGGGAATCCTTCTTTCGTGTACCATGCTGCTGGTCTGCAGTCTGAAAGTTAGGGAGAACTTGGACACATAGAAGAAGTCAAAGAGCAATGGGAAACTCAAGATAAAAGGATAAGAGCCGTGGAAGGAAGTGATCTCTTTAATGTTGCCACAATGGACATGTGCTTGGTTTCAGACTTGGTTATGCCTGCCAAATTTAAAACTCCTGAATTTGAGAAATACAAGGGGCACACCTATCCCAGAAGCCATTTGGTGATGTACTACCATAAGATGATTGCCTATACCAACAACAACAAATTGCTCATTCACTACTTCCAAGACAACTTGAGTGGGGCTTCACTGAAATGGTATATGCGACTTGAGAAGAACTGTATCCAAAGCTGGAAGGACTTGGCTGATGCTTTCTTGAAGCAATATAAGTATAATATGGATATGGCACCTGACCTCTGTCAACTTCAAAACATGTCTCAGAAAGAAAAAGAATCCTTTAAAGAGTACGCTCAACACCGAAGAGAGCTATCTGCTCAGGTGGAGCCACCCTTGGCAGAAAAGGAATTGACTGGATTATTCATGGACACTCTTCAGCCACTCTTTTATGAAAAGATGATAGGAAATGTATCATCTGGATTTGCTGACCTAGTCATTATTGGAGAATGACCATAAGAGGGTATCAAGAAAGGAAAGATTACCAATGTTGAAGCCTTTAATGGTGCTAAAAAGTCCGCTGGGAATTTTCAAAAGAAGATGGATGGCGATACCCATGCTGTTTCAGTTGAAAGGAAACCTCTTCACAGGCAACAACAATATGTAGTTGTAGTTGCTCCTGTTGTAAATGCTCAACCAATTCAAGTTCCTCGTCAGATTGTTAGACAAAATCAGAATCGCAATAGGACTAACTTTGATCCTATCCCGATGTCCTACACTGAACTGTATCCAGGTCTTGTTCAGAAAGGTTTGATTATAACCACGGCCTATCCCGATGTCTTACACTGAATTGTATCCAGGTCTACAGAAAAGCAGATAAAAAAGAATAATCGTTGGAAGAGATAACTTGCACAAGTGTCTCTATTACTCCATACTACTAAGAGACGTTGAAGATAAATATACAAAAAGATATTTATCCATTGTGTAACTTGCTTAACCGTAGTGTCTTCCTTGTGAGTTGTACTATAATCTGTTGAGAGTGGATATCCGTAAAGCATGTCAACTCTCCTTGAGCCATGTGAATACATACTCAAGTTGACAAACTGATTTGACATTGTAGCTTGCTTTATGCAGTACATATCACTTAACTTTATCTATGGTTCTTAAAATGATCACCAGAAGCTGATACATTCAATAAGTGTAGAGATAACATATTGCTCTTTTGATGGTGATACATTCAGCTTCAGAGTCTACACAATCCTATATCATCAGACTTCAATTAAGAACGTCCTTCAGTTCTTAACCATCAGAAGCCAAGAACCTAACTTCTCTCAAATGTGTTATCTTAACAGATTATGAGTATATTCTCTTTAAGCTTTGGACCTGCATACTTAGAACACACATTAGATAACATCATTGTTCTTTCAATACTTTGTTATCATCAAAACTTAAAAGATGTATGTCATGAACAAATCTTGTTCTAACAATCATACGTGTGTGTGTGTGTGTGTGTGCGTGTGTGTGTGTGTGTGTGTGTGTGTGTGTGTGTGATATTTCAACACACAATTCCAAAGGGAAACCTACCCCCAAGACTCATAAACATATTTTGCCACAAAGTTAACCTTTTATTGATCAACCTTAATAAAGGTTACAAATCCCCCCCATGCTGAGATCCTCACTCATTGGAATCCTTAAATATCTAAGGATGAGAACCGACTTTGTAATGTAAAAAGTTCTTAGTAAGTTCTAAAAATGAATTTCCAACAGTAACACAAAAAATACAACTCTTTGAAAAATTCACCTTAAGACCTAAAACCAACTCAAAACTTCTAAGAATACCTTAATGGGCACAAAATTCTCAATTGATGCCTCGCCCAAAAACACCTTATCATCAGTGTATTAAAGATGCGACACCACTAAGTCATTTGAACCAATTTTGAGCTCAGAAAAGGCCTTATCGAGATCGCCATATTAAGAGTTGCGTTGAAGCCCTCCACAACTATGAGGAAAAGAAAAGATGCAAACAAATTCCCTAATGGATATTAATTTCCTTTATTTGGTAACCATTAACCAACACCAAAAGGCTTCTCGAGAAAACATAAGCTTTAATCCAAACCCTCCATCTCCCATCAAACCCAAACCTCCTCAACATATACTCTAGAAACGACCAACTAACTGAATCACATGCCTTCTCAAAATCCACTTTGAAAATCAAACAATCATTCTTCAAAACCCTAGCCAAATTAATAACCTCATTTAGAGCCGCTACTTGGTCTGCCAACTGCCTGCTCCTAGGAAAAGCTGATTGTTCAGAGGAGATTAAGTTACCCTTAGCACCGCTAACCTAGCAACAACACTTTAGCAACCAACTTATAAAGAAATCCAAGGATGGATGTAAACCTATAATCCCCCATCTCCATCGCACAATCAACTTTTGAAATTAAAGCCATAAGTAAAGACGTCAAACTACTTGGAAGAACCTCATTCTTAAAAAGTTGATTAGACATCACACGCACTTCGTCCTTAATCAAACCTCAAAACTTGTTATAGAATAGAAAATTATTACCATTGGGACCCAGACTTTTGCACTCGTCTATTCCTGTCCCCACCACACCTACATCCAAGGGGACAAACACAACAGTTAAAGATTCTGCTTCAAATTGTGAAAGGCGAGAGAAAGGATCACCATCAAGGGTAGTCTAGACTCCAACCTATCCGAGAAATGCTCCTTAAAGAACCTAGAGGTGTTCACCCCAATAACATTCACAGTTCCCTAACACGAAGATCCAGAAGACTACTTTTCCTACTCTTCTACTTGGCACAAGCATGAAAAAACCCAGTATTAGCATGCCCTTCACTGAGCCAATTGGAGCTTGAATGCTGAAACAATAGAGAGTCACAACACCTAAAGAACTCCCTAATCTCTCAAGTTACTAACAAACTTTCTTTCAACTGAGGCGGAAAGAAATCATCAGCCTTAAGCTCCCAAGATTCAAGCTTCTCCACACACGTGTTAATTTTGAGATCCATCTTACCAAACACCTATCTATTTCAAACCTTGAGAGAAGCTTTTCAAGTTTTCAACTTATTTCTAAGAAAAAGCGCCATCCAACCAGCCTTCTAAATAGACCCATAGGATTCCTAGACAAACTCCTCAAAGTTTGCATTATTCAACAAAAAATTATTGAACTGAAACGACTTAGACTCCGAAACTAAGGAGTATTTCAACACTATCGAATAATGCACACATTTCAAAAAAAATAATTTTACAAGTATACTATAATTTAACTTGTGTCACTAACACATATTAGCATTAATTTTTTAATATAATAATCCTAAAATATAACACTTTACAGTGTATTTAGTTTGAGAAATAAAAACAAGTATTTTTCCTCCCAAAATTGCTACTAATCGACAACATTGATGTGAAAATTATTTAGTTTGATAAATTTTTCTAAAATATTTTATTGCCATCCATATTACTACTAATAGTTAGTAAAAGAACTAACCAAAAAGATCATGCATATAGCATATTTGATATTTAAAAGTAGAAAATGCTTTCATCATCATTGAATAATTAACAATTGTAAACATTTATTATTTAGAATAATTGAACCAACCAATCCGCGTGGATTAAACCATGCTGATGCTGCAATGAACTTTAACAGAGCATATGTACGAATCCCTCAAATTCTATTACTCTGACATTACCACCTCAGAATTAGATGTCCAATTCAACTTTTCTACTAATAATATTTTTTATATATTCATAAATCAAATAAATTAATAACAACCCAAGCTTTTCAATATTTGGCTAGTACCATACTATAATTATAAAAAAATATTAATACAATTATTTTAATAAAAATATTAATATATTCACCATCGTAATTAAAAGTATGCAAGACAGACTATAATATAGAAACTAAAATTAATATAAATTAAAAACAAAGTTTGAAATGGTACCAAACATAGAGAAAATAAGAAAAAAGTTATGCTATTTTTTACCACCACTTCCTATTGTTAGGGACTAGGGACCCTCCCCCCACTAAGCCACAATAAAGTTACAAAGGTTAGTAGTTTCACACCATTTTCCCAACTATATATTAGACCCACCCATTTCACTCCTCATTCATCTCCATTCCATTCCTCTCTTTTCCCTCTTAACCTTACAAACCTAATCTTCAACCTCATCTAAAAAACCTAACATATACTCTGTTTTTCCCCTGTTTTCACTTCCCCTGTTTTTCCTCTGTTTTTTTCAAACATTTTTCCTTTTGGATAAGACAAAATGTCTTCTTCATTGTGTCAAGGGTTTCAATCTTGTCTTGAACAAGGTGTGATGGAGCCACGTGTACTAACTCTCAAATTGGCTCCACCAGGATCATCTTCTTTAGACCAAGAGAAACCTATCATCATCAACAATGAATGTCACAAAAATGACACAAATTCTAGCTGGAGTTTCCTTCAAAATCTTACTAAAACTGAAAATGGAAACGACAAAGTTTATGTTCATCCTACTGTGAAACGTTCAGCTTCAATGCTGAGTGAAAAAAGCTTAGAAATGTGCACCGAAAGCCTCGGTAGTGAAACTGGTAGCAATGCCGGTGAAAGTAGTGATGATCTTTCATTGCTTTCTTATGACGCAAGAAACGATGTTTCCAACAGCAACAACAATAACAGCAACAACAACAACGGCAGTAACATGAACAACTATGTGCCTAGAAGAGTTAATAGAGCTAGTAATTTTCCACCACCACTCACTTCTATAACTGATTTTGGTGGAGTTCATGTTAGGCCTCACCGCGAAGGCGGTAGGTTGATATTAGAAGCTATGGCTTCTCCTTCTATTACTCCTTATTTTCATGCAGAACGTTGTGATGGTAGGCTTAGGTTGAGTCTAGTTGAGACTGTTTATGATTATGATGGTGATGATGAAGATTATGAAGGAGAGGAAGTTGAAGATCAAGAAGAAAAAGAGGGTGAAAGTGAAAAGGAGCATGAAGTGTGTGAAGAAGAAGAGTGTGTTGAGAAGGTTGAAGATGAAATGGGTGTAACAATGTTTGGAAGACCAAGAAGATGCAAAGAAAGTGGGAATAGAGATTTTTTTGGTGATGGCTACTTTGAGATTTCAACTACTATTTCTCTATGTCTTTGAATATATTTTGTTTGTATTTTACTACTACCATTATCCATCTCTCTCATCATGCTTCATTTTCCTTTTAGGATTTCACCACTTATGATTGGTGCTTATTTCTCATTGTCCTAATAGAAGTTAGTTATTATAGTTTTTAGTTATATTTGAACATTGTCCTTCTATCTATGCCCACTTCTTCATGGTGCTAGTCTTTCTCTCTCTTTCTTTTTTATTTTATTTTATATTTTTGTTCTTTCTATTTCTTGTATTTTTTTTTCTTAACTCAAACAATCATTGATAAAACTTTACTTATTTCTTCGGCAAATTCCATATTATCAGAGTTTCGTTTATTTGAAGATTTAGACAAAAAAAAAAAAAAATTAAATGAAAAGATGCAAATATCTTTCATCTAAATTAAATATATTGAGAATGTTAGCTAATATAGTCTTGTACAATTGATCAAAGTCATTAGTTGTTTGTCAACATTTTTTCATGATTATTGTTAGAAAAAAGGTGTAAAATGAACATGTGAAGTAAAGGAGTACAACTAATTCTAATCCATAGAACAAACTTTTTAAAAAAAATGTACATGTAAAAAGGAAGGAGAAAAAGCTAGTAATGGGATAGACTATACCAACACAAAGGTGGACCCAAAACCTTAATTAAACTATATATGTTGATTATCATATTTTTTTATGACCCTTGTCTAATTTTTTCTTTTCCCATGTCAAAATTAATATATTATATAAAGAGTGATGTAGTCCCATTTCATTCTAATGATAGGATTTTACTATGTTGGCAATACATAAGGTAAAATACCCTTTCAATTTTAGTATACTATTAGGCTCACGTGAGTCAACCAATACCCACACCTTGATGATATCACTCATTCATAATATTCTCTTAGTTATTAAACCAAATCAATGTTTGTGATTCAATTCTATATTTTTTTTCCAATTTATATCGAAGAAGATGGTTTTCTAAATTGAATCTTCTACGATTGATTGTTATGATGCAGTTGACTATATACCGTCAACTGCAACACATTTTTTTAGTTTAATATCTGCACTATAAAATTGACCATTGAAAATTGTAGTTTTTAAATTTCCAATTTCAAAAGAAAAAGTATCAATCATTATTGAGATGAGATAGGATGATGTATTCCCTACAAGCATGTAATGTATGTCACCTAGAGCAACATGGGTGGACATGGAATCTTGCAAGCTCATGGGAAGTGTTGCGGGTTAAGAGTGAGTGAGGGATGAGATAAAAAGTGCATGGCTTCTTAATGTAGTAATAAATCAATGAAGGGAATTGAAAAGAAATTGTTGCACGTATACTCTCTCCCTCAATAGAAAACCTAAAACAAGTTGTGTTGTACGGTTTTTAGTACCAATGCTTGGTAACTATCAAAAAGGAGGCATGGAATTGGAGGGACCCCTAAACTGTATAACATGACTGACTTCATCATGTATAGTGTATCTCACCCATGTGATACCATTTGCCACTTCTCTCTAGTCAGTCCATCATCATGTTATCAACACATTGTAAATTTTAACAATTGACCATACTATTTTTTCTTTATTAAAGGATTCTCACACCATTTAATGACCGCGACGACACATTTGAAAGTGAAACGACTATAAATTGTTTCAGACAAAACACATGTATATCAATTAGCTGAATTGAGATTTTGAGGTTTAGGATTTAAATTTGACTACAATAGAAAAAAGAGGCGAAGACAAATAGTTTTAAGTGCGACTAAATTTTGAGCTGATGTTTCGCAAATACTCAATCAGTTGAGACTTATTTAAAATGGCGCGATGAACTTGAAAAGTCTCATAGCCGATTCAAGTGGTTTAAGATTATGATACCCTTAGGTCTTAGGGGAGGCAAAGGACCAAATCAATGTGGATTAGAAAAAATATTCTTATGCAATATATTATTATATCATGAAAGTGAGTAGATATCCTAGTTGTGTTGATGTGACAATATTACAAGGTGTTTAGAGATGAAGTTGGGTGTGAAATTCTTCAAGAGGGGAAGACAATGGCAAATCGTGGAGTTTGGGCATCCATACATTAACATATATTTGTGTTGATGGTTTGGATGACACTAGTAGTGAAATGAAACTTTCAACACCATCACATGCATCATTTGGTCCCTAACATCATGTGCTACCTTTAAGAACCTTGTTTTTATGTCCTTTAAGCACAGATTCTCTCACCATATCATCTCACAGTAAGAAAAATCTTTAGGGCAATCCGCATGTCCCCTAATTTGTTTATTTTTTGTCACATGGAGGTACTAATAATGCTAATATCTATAAAAAGATCATTTAAAGGAGAAAGTTTTTTTTTTTTTTCTATCTTCATTTTATGGATTCGTTTTAGGTGATAGAGTTTGGTGTATAGTTGAAAAATGCTGCCTCTCCAGTTTCATATTCGATCACCTATGGCTTCTTATTATGCTTCATTGTACTTATTCTTTTTCTAGTTTTGTGTTGCCATTTGTCGACCACATAGAGTTTTTGTATCTTTACTTAAGTTAAGTGAAGTTGATGTGAATGATCGGATTTTAGCAAAGATGATTGTAACTGTAATTGAGACCACAATATTAGTGATTTTGATGTTGCTACGACAAATCAAGATTATATTGTGATTGTGATGTCAAGATTTTTCATGTTTGCACAATCTTGATTGCATCATTTGTAATTGAGCGGGGTATGTTATGTTCTATAGTCATGATGATTTGGAATAAACTTGAGAATCTTCTCTTGAAACTTCCATTTAAAGTTGAAGCCAAGCCAATATTAGACATACTTTTCTAAAGTAATGAAAAAAGAAATTTTAAAATGATTTTGTTGGTTCAACAATAAGTACAAAAGAGAAAAAAAATAATAATTTGTAAGACAATAATAACATAATATTATGCGGAGAATAATAATTCAAATGTGAGTTGGAGTCCTACATTTTTTATAAATTAGGAGATTCGAATATTTATAAGTGGGAGAACCCACACACCTATCACCTAAAGATTCTGGATGAATATGTGATGTCTCTCTCATTTGTGTGTTGCTCTTGGTTCAATGCTGATACTCCTCCTCATGATCCAACAAATGATATCATGAGTCATTGGTTCGAGTAAATGGACCGACTTACTTGTATCGAAGTGTTCAGGAAGAGGTGTCCCGTTGAAATCAAAATGTCTAAGAAGAGATGTATCGAAATGTCCAAGAAAGTGGTGCCATCGGCGGTACAAGTGTATGTGGACAATTTTTTTTTTTTACTTGAGGGGGAGCATTGCGGACTCACACTTGAGGTAGAGTGTTGAGAATAATAAGTTAAGTGTGAGTTGGAGTCCTACATTGGTTATAAATGTGGATACTTGAATATTTATAAGCGGGAGAACCCATACACATATCACCTTAAGGTTTTAGGTGAATATATGATGTCTCTCTCACTTGTGTATTGCTCTTGCCTCAATGTCGATGTTCCTTCTCGTGACCCAACATATTATTGGTTTAATATCCTTTTTGATTTTGTGACTGTATGCTAACATTAACGTTCATTTTAGTTCTTTAACTTAAAAAATGTCTATATTGTCTACAATTGCAACTATTCAGCAAATGTTGTTCCATATTACCACAATTCAAATTACAACAATACTCTGATTGCTTAACTCTCTTGTCCATGTCCCCTTTAATACCGTATATGAGTCATATTCAGCTAATCTTAATGTTGTGAAAGTTTTGTTTTCATTTTTCAAAAATCTCAAAGTGGTGTTTTTGGTCTCTATTATCGTATGACAAAAGTAGTTATATATATATATATATATATATATATATATATATATATATATATATATATATATATATATATATATATATATATATATATATATATATATATATATATATATATATATATATATATATATATATATATATATATATTGTTCCGGTATGGGCCCAATCTCGGCAGGCCCAATACCGCGCACGGCCCAACAGGCGAATCGGGCACAGGCGCCCTTCGGGACGAGCAGGGCGTGCCGCCGAACACAAGCGACACCCCAACAACCTTTCACCATCCACCAGACGAGCAGGACCGTCCCCGGCTCACCAAAGCGCGACCGTGGTTTCTCCCCTCCGCGGGGAGAACAACGCGCTCCGGGGTACCTCCCGAGCTCCCCTCCGCGGGGAGAATAACGTGCTCGGCGCACGTTCTCCACGTGCTCCCCTCCGCGGGGACACGTCATCAACCAACCGCCCACCTCCGAAAGAGCAGGTCAAACCCACTTTCCGGAGATCTAGGAGTAGTTGGACTAGGGCGAAGACCATGTTCTGGTCTTCAATACGCCACGTAAGCCCTAGCAGTCATTAGGGTTGGGCCTGGTCATCCAGCCCATCTCAAATGACCGTTGGCCCAGCGCTGGGGTCTCTCTATAAATACCCTCTTCCTCAAGAGGGTCAGGTAATTCACATCTTGCCCTTTTCTGTACTTTGCTCTCACTCTGCCCAATTTCTTACTTTGGCATCGGAGTATCTTGCAGGTACACCCCCTCTCTCCTCCTCATCACCGATGAACAGGTAGCAGCCCAGCAGTGTGTGGCCAGCCCGTGATCCTCTCCTGATCAGGTCAGATCAGTGGCGCCGTCTGTGGGAAACTGAAACTTCCCTGTTACTCCGAGCAGAAAACCAAAAGTTTCACCAAACCTCCACGATCATGGCTAGTCCACACCGCGACGACACTCCGCACGACCTTGCGCTCAACGTCGCCACCAACGGTAAGCAGACAGGAACGGCACGTCCGACGGAAGCCGGCGAAAGGGACGGGCAAACTGCTTCAACATCATCCGCGGAACGGCCCCTTCAGGCCGATCACCGCCCCCCGAGCCCGCCAGTATTCCACCCCGTTCCCATCCCGGCGGGAGCAGACCCGACGGTGGCCGCTCTCTTTACGGCCATCAACCAGACGAACCAGCTGCTGTTCCAATAAAATGCGAGAATTGGAGCATTAGAA